CTTCTTAGTGACCTTCCCTCTCGGTCTTTTCTACTGGTTCTTTCCCATCTCCCAAGCTCTGACATCTTGGTGTCCGCCTGGGAGCATCCCTGGTCCCTATGCTCTTTCCCACGTACACTCACTCCTTTGGTGATTTCACTTAAGCTCATAGCTTTAAACATTGTCTGTATGCCAATGACTCTCAAATTCGTAGCTTAGCCTGGACCCCTCCCCTAAGCTCCAGACTAATATATACTGTGGTCTCTATTTAATGTCTCCACGTAGACATTTAATAAGCATCTCGAAGTCGACATGTCCACACTGAGCTCCCAATCTACCCTCTAAATCCTGCCTTTCACTCAGTCTTTCCCATCTCAGTGAAGGCAACTCTCCACGCTTCTCAAGGCTCAGGCCAAAATCAGCGGCACTCTCGATTTTTTCCTCTCATTCACCACATCCAATCCATCAGCAAATCCTAACATGTGTCTCTTAGAAATAGATTCAGAAACTGACCATTTCTCAGAACTTCCACTGTTACTACTCTGGTCCCCAATAGATTATTGCTTGCCTGGGTTACTGCAATGGCCTCCTGTCTGCCTACTCATTCCTTACTTCCTTCTAGTCTCTTTTCAATACAGCAGCCAGAGAGATCCTGTCAAATGATACCCATTAGGTCTCTGACCTCATCTCGTAGTCCCCTTCCCCTCATTCATGCTACCCCAGTAACACTGGCCTCCGTGGTGTCCCTAGGACATGTCAGGCATGTTTTGCCTCAGGGCCATTGCAGCTTCAATGCTCAGTCCCCAGATAGCTGCAGAGATTGCTCCCTTACCTTCCTGGGGTCTTCACTCAGATGTCTCTGTGTGGTGAAGCCTCCATAGTCACCCTATTTAGAATTTCAACCTGCCCCGTCCCTGGCATTCCGTTTCCCTTTTCCCTGCTCATTTTCCTCTAGAGCACGTGACAGTATCTTAGGTGCTTATAGTTTACTGATTTATCTTTTTTATTGTCTGTCTTTTTAATTTAGTTTTGCTTAGTTCCATTCGCTGCTATATTCCTGTGTCCTAGAACAGAATTTGGAACATATGAGATAAATATTTCATGAATAAAGGAATGATCGAAATAGGCCCAGAGAGGTTAAGCAACTTGCCCAGGGTCACACAGCTTGTAAGGGCCTAGAAATACCTGAGTCTGTCTGGGATTAGAGTCCAAGCTCTTATTCCCCATATCAGTCTCAGTAAAGGATGAGGCCCCTCAACTGCACCCCAAGGCTGATGTTTCTATTGCCCCCTTTGTTTTGATCTCCAGAGCTGCGTACTGCCGGAGGGCTGGGGCTGTTTTGGTTTCATTAGACGGTATTTGTTTCTTTCTGCTCAGTTAGGTGTGGGAGGTGCCTGATACCTGTGTGATTGAAAGGGGAAGTCTTTGTCTTACCTGCCACTGCCATGGCAACCAGGTAACCTAAGGACTCCAGAGAGAGTCCATTGAGATTGAGAGGAGGAAAAATATAAAGCGAGCCCCAATAAACAGAGAATAATCTGTGAATGGAGAAATGACTGGAGTCTTGTGCCTGCAGCTTGCTGTGTCATTGGCAGCAAGGAGAACCCATCCTGTTCTCTTCCTACCCACCAGCTCGGTTACAGCCAAGGGCAGTGGATCACCTTGTCCAGCCTCCTGCCTCTAGCACGACTCCATGAAACCCATCCAGGAGCCCGTGCCCCTCTGTTCAACATCCCCAGGGAAGGGGCCCCCCCAAATACTTTCAGTGCCCTCATGATATCCCTGGGCTCAAAGTCAGGAGATCCATGTTCTGATCTCTTATCTATCTCAGACATACTTTTAGGCAGTTCTTTAATCTCAACCTTTCTCTGGGGCTCAGTTGACCCTTTACATAAGGCACAGCTCCCTTCCTTACTTATCTGATAGTAGGAGAATTAAGTAGAACTGTAGCAGAAAAACTATGACATTAAAGTTCTTATGGGAATGTGAGTTAGAATTGTAGTATTTTCCCAAGAAGACTTACTTGTGCCAGGCACTGTGTCCAGCATTTTGTGTGCCCAACCTCACTCAGTCCTTATGGCCACCCTTGAGGAAGTGATTGTTGCTCACAATGGAGAGATGAAGAAACAGAGCCTAACAGAGGTTCGGACACTTGCCCAAGTTTGTGCAGCTGGTAAATGGTGAGGAGGCATTGAAAACTAAGAAGTCTGTTTCCAAAAACCATGTTCCTCTCCCCTCCCCCACACTGTGTCCCATGGGGGCTGAGGATTAGAGAAGAGCCTGTTTTTCTCACATTAGTCATTCCCAGGGCAGTCTCTGTGCCCCAAAGATCTAAGCAGATCATTGAGGAAGTGTCTGGTACCCTTTGCATTTAATAAGCCCCTTTAATCTGTGGAGTTTGCTGAGCTCTGTGGACAAGATCATAATCCCCTCCCAGCCCAAAGGCTGGAACCTGAGGAGCTGGGTCAGAGGGGTTCGGCCTCTCCCATACCTTGGTGCCTGTCCAGTCAGTAAATGCACTTTTATTGTGCACCCACAATGTGGCCAGTTCTATGGTGTATGCAGGAGCAGCCCGCACCCCAGAACAAATGAAAAATGATTAGGTGCCAAACTGTGGATGATGATGCTGGGGAGGAGACAGGTCTGTATCTTGGTGGAGGGGCCTGAGCTGGGCCAGGGATGGGGTGGAGTCTAGAAAAGGGAGACAGAGAAGAGACCTATGGGCACAGGTGTGGGAGGGACATCGGGCACAAGGGTGAGAAGGGGGATGAGCAGATTGGTGTGGTGAGAAGCTCAGAGTCTGATGTCAGAAAGACCTGGCTTTATACTCTGGCCCTGCCACTGACTGGCTGAGTGACCTTGATTTGATCATTTAACTTTTTTCTTCGAGAGAGGTCTCATTATAATTTGAGAGATGTTTAGCACCTCAGTTTTCATGTTCCACCATTTAGCTTTTATCAGCGTTTCCTGCAAAGAAAATCAAGTCTAACCTGAATCTGTCTGGCTGCTGGCTCGTTTCCTTTCTCTTGTTCTTGAAGAAGCGCAGGTCTGACCAGTCGAAGATGGTGAAGTTTGCAGGTTAAGCCCTCTCAGAAACTCTAAACACACAGAAAAATAGTATGGCCTTCCTCTCAATGTACATAAAAATATACTAACCCATAAAATATAAAACTTGCATGAATGCCAAGGTTAAAATAGCTTCTTTGCAGATTTTTTTTTTTTTCCTAAAAATCTGGATGGCTTCCTTGACTAAACTTTCTAAGAGTATTGTTGTCTTTGCTTTCTAATATTTGTGGCACCTGAAGAAAGTCTCTATTCTGCCTTTTGGGTTGTCTGTC